CCCCCCCCCCCCCCCCCCCCTTTCCCTTACTGTACCTCTACACGAGCAGAAATATTCAGCGGGATGATCCCGCAGCCCGAAGGACGAGCACTGATCGAAGCTATGAGCGGCAGCAGCGACCCCACGCAAGGCGCTCTGGTGCCCATGAACTGCAACAAGAAGTCGGGCATCGGGAGCAGCAACCAGCAGTGCCACGCCGCGGCTAAGGCCGACCGAGACATCGTCGACGGTCTTACTCTGGTGAGGGGGCAGGGCACGGTTTGAGCAGGCTGAGACGGGGGAGGGGCGGGGGCCGGAGCGGCCCTAATGCCCTGCATGCTACGGTGAGACCAAATGCCATCTCCCACCCTCAACTAATAATCGTGGCTCGTCGTCCGGACGCTGTTGGCAATCCCAGGGCGGGTTCGTCCACCTGCCTGGTGGAGAAAAGTTCGAGTACTTGCTCGCCGGGTTCGGCGTGAAGGTTCCTCTGGGAGAACTCGAGATGGGTGCCCCCCTGAACCCCTCCGGTAGGTGGCGCCGGGACGCAGGAGGAGCATCGAATTTCTCGTGCGATGATGTTGTCGCTTGAAGTACGACCCGAAGCAGACAAAATATATTGGTAGCTCTTCCCCCCCTAAACACATCGATGAGCACTACGAACCCACAGCAATAATCTTGCTGATTGGCGACGAACACTAACCGAAGCCAAATCTTATTGGTGGCTGCCCGCTCCAAACACACCGATAGGATGAACGAACGTGTTCCACCTACCACACACACTATTAGACATACCCCCTGTCGGGACGAACGATGACAACTTCTTGACCAAGTGCCCGGGTTTTGTCAAACAGAACAAAGCAGAAACGCCGATGAACGCGGTAACGTGAGCTGGGTTTAGATCGTCGTGAGACAGTTCGGTCCATATCCGGTGAAGGCGTTGGAGTATTGAGAGGATTCTTCTTTTGTACGAGAGGGCCGAGAAGAACATGTCGCTGATGTTTCGTCTAACAGAACAAAGCAGAAACTCACACAGCGTGTACTTGAACGAAAAAAAAACTGCAGGTGCATGTGCACCGATGCCCAAGGAGGCAGCCACTGCAGCTGCCGGCAAGGCCATCGTCGCCACGCGCGGCGCGTGCAGCTTCCTCGAGAAGGCCGAAGCAATGGGAGCCGGCCCAGGCGAGCGAGTCGGCGCGCTCATCGTGAAAAACAGCGAGACTGCCCTCTTTCACATGGGGGCCGCCCCGAGGTGAAGAACTGAAAGAAACTCAATTTCTGAGTTACCCCGGAGATGTGGTGTATCATTCATACTCCGGAGTAAAACATTTTCAGGCAGTGCGAGACTGTATCCTACAACACCATGCACGACAGGTTTTCTTGCTCAAGCATCCCACGTTCGAGTCCCGACAAAACAACGAAGCACGTATTACGGAAACAACATTTACCAATAGCAAGGTCAAAACGAGTCCGTCCCGATATTCCTTCTCTAGTTTCATCTGGTATTGGGTATTGGCCGACGATGATGGTCGAAACGCAGGTGGCGCGGGGCGAACATCTCCCTGCCGATCGTGCTCGTTACGGATGTCGCGGGCCACGCGATCTCCACCTTACCCCCGGACTCAACCATACGCTTCGCCCCTTCCGAGCACGTCACGTTGGCCGCTTGGGACGAAATCGAGCGGCTGAACGAGGCGTCCGCCTGGCCCAAAGAAACTCAGGAACGCCAGACTCTGTACGAAACCCTCGTGGCCCGTAATGCAGGGTTTCCCGATCGGGTCTCCGCGATCCAGGGGGCATTCTCGAGGGTGTGTAGTTGGGACGAGGAGGAGGAAGGTATTGCTGGGCAGGGGGTAGGTGATGCTGAGAGGCGAGAGACTGGTGATGCTGACACAACAAGCGTCAAGCTTTGAGAGAGCTGCTCGAGGTGGGGGGTAGTGTGATGCTTCTTTCTTTCATTGTGCCTGCCATGGTTCGGCAAATGTTTGCCGAGTTACCACCAGCGCGAATATGGTTGATTGGGGGGCTGGGATACACACGCCGTCCGTCTTGCTATGCCCAAGCAGTGAAGAAGGCGCCCGCGGGTTCGAGACGACGCTCTGGAAGTTCGTTTGCGCGGGTTTAAGCGCAGCTCTTTTGTGTTACGCAGGCTTCTCTCTTGATTTCTCCCGTCGTGGTGGCAGCGTTTTGATGGCCATGTTCAGCAAGCACACTGCAAGACGTTCAAAGAACGAGGGACTATAATATATTGTTGAAAGCAAGCCGACGAATGTCGTCGGCGTTGCTAGTCCCAAGCTGGCTTCATTTTTTTGCTCATAGTTTCAGCTTGAGAATGGAAGCGGGTACGGATTCGTATGCACGCATGCTTCAGGCAGTGGCATTTCGGTACTCGCGAAAATGCAAACACTACTGTACACTGTACCGAGCCAAAAGAGGTTCGCAAACGGCCTGTATTGTGCGGGCCAGAAAAGGTTTTCGTGTTTTGCACGACGGCAATCCATGAACCTGCTCAGCATACGAGAGGTGTTGATGCCCGAGTTTGTCTGTTGTGCGGCGGCCTAGCGGTTGATGTACGATCGTATGTGGAATCTACTGCTGTTGCTGTGCAACGAGTACATCATCGTTGGTGGACACAAGATGGCGACAGCCACCGCATCTCCATAATCTTTGCAAACCTCCACCTCGAGGCAAATGTTTTGTGCACGCAAGGGCCCCGAGCACAAGCTTCAGGAGAACGAGAAAAGGCGCGATCTCCCTAGTACGTAAAAACAAACCAATTGCACAGACAGAGTGCTTGCTCCGTCTTTGCAAGTAACAATGGTACTCCAGTCGCCTTGCTCCGCAAGACAGCCATCCAAATCGCATCCAAGGATTAATCGCTCGCTCGCGAAACACACCTTACAACAAGCAATCGCCTTGTGTTGTACGTGAGCAAAACGGCTTATACTCATCCTAACAGCGTATAAAGACTTCAAGCGTACACGCATTAAAGACGGAAGGTGCATGCCCTCATTCGTACGCAAAACAAATCGGGAGGCGGCGTCCAAATGATGACGTAGTCCATGCTTGGCTTGGTCATAGACTACGCCTGTATTCTAGAACGAAAGAGGAATAGGCAAAACAGTGGGACCGAAAAGGAACGACGAATACGCACGAAGCAAAAAACAAGTAAACGAAGTACACCAAGGATAGTTGTACATAAATACCGAAACATCCTTTAAGAACGCCTCCCGGGGGTAACTCAAAGGTGGAGAGAGGGGCGATCATTCTAAAAAAAAAACGGGGCGAACGGCCCCGGACGATGTCGGGACTCAACAGTATTTATGAGAAGCATACCAAATGCACAAGAAGGGTGATTGGGGCAAATAACAGACGAGAATGTTGCCACGAGGGAAAGCCGCCCGTGGGTTTGTGTGCGAACGCCCGGCGGGGCGCCCCAAAAAGTTGATAAAAGCAAAGTAAATATCATCCCGCGACTAGCTCCAAGGTGGTTTGCGAAAAACCGTAAAACAAACAAAATTGACACCCCCAGGGCTAACTCAAAGGATAATGCGGTATTCGTGGTATAGCAGTAGAGCACAGCAACAGATGAAAAAAAAACACTTTTTTCAGCACTACGCGCAAGAGCACAGCAACAGTTGTAACAATCAAAATGAGGAAACAACCCGGCACATTCAGATCGACAACAGCAGTTACTTGAAAACATGCGAGACATGAAAAAATGGACGGGGCGGTCCTGGAAATTGTAGCACGCATGCAAAAACTGACTCACTTTTACGGAGGGCTCCCCGGAATGTTGTTGAAGTGCTAGGCAGTGTTCGTCTACCGCGCGATCCGGTCCACCTCGTAGAAGACCTGCACGTGCACGAGTAATCCCGTTCTATTATCGTACCTACATTTCCCAATGACACGTGTTAACCCGTCCCGTCTCCGTTCAAGTCGCGGATGTACGGCTTAGCTCTTGCGTCATTGCCCTTCGGCTGCTCTTTGCCGACCCGCCTGCTGCCATCACCGTGGAGGTAGACGACACTGGGCTTTCCGTCCAGGGCTTGCCTCCTCCCTTCTGGTCGAGCATGAGAAGTAGGGGGCCTCGTGACCGATCAGCGTCGGGCACAAGAAGCAAGCGAATGTCTCCTTTCCCTTTCAACTGCCGTCATGCGCAGCCGCCGTGAGGGACATGCTCCCCTGACAGTGGATGCAAGTGTTGATGCAAATTCCAACAGGCAACGGAATTGTGGAGCAGTTTGGATAACATCCAGTCGTTGCGTTGATATCTTGGCAAGCCCCCACCGTCGTGTCTGGATATGCCCGCTGGAGAAGCAGCGGAAGCGATAATTCCGCGTGCGTTTGAGAAATAGAAAACTGAAGGAAAAAAAACGTCCAGGTCGAAGCAACAGGCTTGCGAACACTACAATTTCTAAACCCCAAGAACAGGCTGTGCGCCCGGGCATTCCAGTATCTGGGATGGACAGGAGACTCTCTCAACATGGAACCTCTGGAACCTCTCTCAACAGTTAGTTTCCATTGCATTTCCCCGAGGTCTCCCGATCTCCCAGGATTGATTTCATTGGCGTCTCAGGCCAGCATCACATATCAAGGTGGACAGCGCGTGCGCGCCACACATCAAGGTAGACGGCATGCAGCAGTCACGAGTTAACAGTGATGCGTAATGTAGCGTGCTACGGTTCCAACGCCGCCATTTTCAGCATCAGAACTCTTCCTACTCGCTGCGGAGCACTCGGGTTTTGAAAATCGGTCCAGGTGTGGCGTTTTGTGTCACCTACCTTAAACGGTACTTGCGGTGGGTACGTTGCTCGCCGACACAGATTGTAAGTACAATAGTGCCAGATAGCCTTTTGGGGACACTTTTTGTCCCCATCTTCTTCACATGCTTTGCCTCGCGAAGAATGACATGATTGTCTCTTCCTTTGAACTACTCGACCAGGGGGGTGCCAAGGGTACACGGGGACGACTCTAGTCTAGTATGGGTGCTTTGTAGAGTGGATGATTATGAGGGTAATGAACAGGTCGAATCGCGGGGCGATTACGCCGCGGGTTCAATAGCGAAGTTGCACCGCGTCTGTCTGTGTGTGTGCTTTTATTATTAGCATCGACCGCGCTAACCGGCTGACCAATGAAAAGACGTCAGTCTTGGTGCGGGGGTGTGTGTGTTTTTTTTCGTTCTATTTATTATGGCGACAGTCCTCCCATTTTCGTAGTGAGACGTGTACTACACTATTCAGCGTATGTAGAGTACTACACTTTTCAGTGTATGTTTTCGTACAACTACAACCATCCAGGGTCACACAGGAGGGGTAAACACCAAGGCTTTTTTTTTTTCTTTTTTTTTTTTCATGCCCCACCTTCCTCCTGCGGTGCGTGCTGAATTTTATTTTTATCGCGAGAAGGGTCCAGCTGTCCCTTTCCCTCGTCAATGGTGCTAACGTCGAAGGTTGGTACTCGCGAGAGCTTTTTAGCCATATTTCGCTTTCACCCGCAAATTTCGTCATTTTTTCACCCCATGGGGATTCGAACTCACGACCTCTGCGACTATTATAAGCGGATTACGAGGATACCACTTGACCACCGGGGCGACCGGACTGTGTCTACACCCTTGGGTGGAAAGCACTACAAGCGCGGAAGAAGTACCTAGCCCACCGTTGATAGGAGGCACTGGGCAACCTAGGGCTTGGGTTAGAAGGTCTCGCTTTCNTCGAAGGTTGGTACTCGCGAGAGCTTTTTAGCCATATTTCGCTTTCACCCGCAAATTTCGTCATTTTTTCACCCCATGGGGATTCGAACTCACGACCTCTGCGACTATTATAAGCGGATTACGAGGATACCACTTGACCACCGGGGCGACCGGACTGTGTCTACACCCTTGGGTGGAAAGCACTACAAGCGCGGAAGAAGTACCTAGCCCACCGTTGATAGGAGGCACTGGGCAACCTAGGGCTTGGGTTAGAAGGTCTCGCTTTCCCTCTGGAGAAATATCTTGAATACCTCCTTTTCGTGCCCCGTTTACCACGCTCCCGCCAGTTGCTGTCTATAATCCCTATCAAATGTCCCCTCGATAAATCGAGGGGACAATTGATATAGAATATAGATACGAGACGGCTCAAGTGGGAAGGCAGCTTTGCACCCAGGGACGGAACTGTCTGCACCATCCAATCAGCAGGCGTCGTTCGCTCTATTTTTTACATTTCAGAAATTTCGCAAGAACGCCGAATTTTCTGTGCGTGGTAACTGACGTGACGTGTGACGTAACCGTGACGATTCAGTACGTATTTGAATCTGTGGTTTGTGGAGGCGTGTTGGAATTCGGAAAAGCGTAGATCGAAGAAAAATAGAGACAGCCCTGGTGTCAGAAAGTTTTTGTGCTCTCGCTGGGCGAGAGACAAGCAAGTGCATTTGAGAGAAGGAGAGGAGTAGCAGAGATAGCAGCTTTGAGGAGCAGCAAACACGGAGTGCCGCCTAGGATTTGATCGATTTTGGGATGGACGGCAATGATGGGCAACCGGCGAGCGCGAGCGCCGCGGCGGGCGCCGCGGCGGCCATTCAAGGCAACTCGGGGCACGGCAGTCCTCCAAATTCAGCTGCCGGAGGCGGAGACGACCAAAACACGCAACCGCAGCAACAACAACAACAGCAGCAGCCGCAGCAACAACAACAACAACAACAGCAGCCGCAGCCGCAGCAGCAGCAGCAGCAGCAGCAG